TGACACACGGTGCAACGTAGCTAAACTATGCAGGGATGCCTTTAAGTTTCAGAAATGTATGGACTTAATTATCCTTCGTTTAATTTACATAAAACATCAGGGGAAAAAAATGACAAACTTGGCATGATTAGTTAAAAAACTGTTTTAAAGAAATAAATCTGTGGACGGACAGATTTATAACGAGTCGTAGCAGGACTTAGTTTATTAAACTACGTATTAAAAGTTTAGGGAACTGTTTGTATTAAATAGTATTTACATCAGATAAAGATATAGTAGAATTTGATTATATATAGTATATAACGGTAAAGTGGGTTAAATACATTAGCTACATTTTCATTTTGTTCCACAAACCAAACCGGTAGGTGGCGGTGATGAGCACTGAAGTGGTTGCCAAACGCCATTAAACCCCACAACGAAGAAGGCTAACCCCAGCCAATAGTAATAATGTAATAATCTACAAACTATTAATAGAAATGCAAGTCCATACGAGCTTTGCATGTGTACTAACTGGTTCGGATACACGCTTTTTAATGTTATCTGCTCCCAAACATTACTAGAATCAGATCTTCTGGTGACCTAACATAGCATATTTTATTGAACAGTAGAAGAACGCCCCACCTCTCGGTAGGGCATCAAAAAATTGGGATAAACTCTTGTTGTTCCNAGGGCATCAAAAAATTGGGATAAACTCTTGTTGTTCCTCTCCACGGAAATCTTTAGTAAAAGGCGAAAGATTTATACGATCTGAAGAGAAACAAGAGTGCATACTCTGAAAATGTCAAAGTCCCACAAGCCATTCACCATCATACCTATTTGACTCACGGTGCAACGTAACTACTCTATGCGGGGACAACTTTAAGTTTCAGCAATGTATAGACTTTATCATCATTCAATAAATTTACTGGAAACATTGGGTAAATATTGTGTAACTTCGGCATAATTAGTTAAAAACTGTTTAAAAAATAAAAACCAGTAGACGCAATGCATGATGGGAGTTGGGCGTCGTTAGCCACGCCTCTAAAATTGTAGCCCCCTTGTTTTTTAGTTTTATCTGATATGCTTTACAAATTAAAACTGTTTGCGCTTTTATACAACATAACATGGCAGCTAGATTTATAGTTTTTCTTTAAAAATGTGTATAAGACCATTAAATAAATGTGTCCTTCATTACTGCTGCAGGATTTCATTCTTATTTTTCAGGGTAAATTGAATTGGAAGACGCACGTTTTTTTCTTTTTAAAGAAATAAAGATTTTATTCCTAATCGTATCCAAGCTGTCAGTATATCCCCTCCTTTTTTCCCCTTTAGGATCATTCCCAGGGTTCTTCTACTGTCCTTCTCATTCCACAGGTTTTTCATTTCATTCAGGAAGATGATTTGAAAACAGAAACATAAGCATAACCACAGCATCATGGGTCCCTCGCCATACTTATAGTAGTTATGACCTGGATTTTTCTGTCACCCCAAAAAAAGCTAAAACCTATTTTGCTCTAACCAAAGCACAGAGCTGGTTTACCTTCCACACAACCACTTGGCTTATACTCAGCATTCATCATGCCTGCCTCTTTATTGCCTTCCCATCCAGATGAATGTGTTAATGGCTCAATAAAGGTGTGCCTATCTGACTTTGTGCTCAGCACCTAACAATAAATAAATATCCAGATTAGTGTTGTAATCTATGGAAACATAAGGTCATCCAATTAAATCTTAACATAAGTTTTATTTACTCATTACATCAGCTCATAATAAAGGCTTGGTTTTTCTGTAATTTGTAGTGTAATGTACTGTGATTAAAGAAGAATTCCTTTGAAGTATTTTATTTCAGTAGTGTTAAAGTGCTAAGAGCTATAATGATACATAGTTAAACATCTGAGTGTGTAATGTGGCCATACTGGAGCCCAATAACATGTTTCTATCATCGGTATAAGCAATGGCATCCTTTTCACTTTGATGACTCTGCTAGTGTTGTTGTCTATGCTAATATATTATTAACATTTGTTTTTCTCTTCTTTTTTTGGCTTATAATCAAGTGATTATATGGGGACAATAAAAAGAATCTAATGTCATTTTTGGACTTATGCATTTTTCTAACTGACTTCTTATATGAGTTGTGGTTCTATGTAGGAAGCAACCAACAGTTTAAAAAAAATGCTTTTAAAGGCTGTTTTTTTTTTTATGTTTTCAAAGTACAGCTACTCTTATCCGTGACTGTCAAAAGTACAGCAAATGGTAAATGCTTGGTAAATGGGTTTTTGGTAGGAAGTGGGTTTTGAGAGAAATCCACAGAATCATTAATGCATTATTACTTCTACAGATATAAACAATTGTGGTATAATTCTGTGGATTATTTAGACAGGATCTGAGTTTTACAAAATACACCCTTGGACTCATCTCTGTATATCTGTAAGAAAGTCCTAAGATCCCCTGTTGTTGTGGAGCTGCATGATGTGCAGCTGATGTTCTGCTCAGCATGGCAGTCTGTGGCTTTTATAGGTGTTTTGCTCTAAAAAGCCATAAAACCACCTCTGCCCCTGTGGGTATACTTCAGCCTTATTAGTGTGTGAAACAAAATAAAATACTCTAATAAACTTTGAACACTTTGATAAAAGTTCTAATCAAACTATTTTGGAAACTAAGTAGCTAAGACTGACTAAGGGTGAATAGAATGTTAGGTGGACTTTTTTTTGCAAATAAAAGAAGGTAATTTATCTTAGGTTGTTCTGTGTCTCTGGTTAGGAAGGACACACCCTTTGATGAGAAGCCATGGAGCTGCCTCACCTTCCTCTGCTCATCCTCCTCATCACTCCCTGCTCCTCCCTGTCAGAGAACCTCCCCCTTCCTGCTGTGCCTGCTGCAGGTCCGCTCCACCGGGACCAGCCCTTCATCGTAGTGTGGAACATGCCCACAGCAAACTGTCACAAACGCCACAACGTCCAGCTGGACCTGAAGGAATTTGGGATTGTGGAGAACAACAGGCAGCGCTTCCAGGGAGAGGTGATGAAGGGATTTAGATGGGCTGTTTTTAAATTGTGCTGCTCACTTGTTTGAAAAAAAAAAAAAAAAAAAAAAGAAGTCATAAATCTGATGTGTGGCTTTGGTTCCTGATTTTTTTTTTCTTTGAAAAAATCCTCATCAGAGATTATTTTTTATTATTGGGCCACAATATAGTTCTCAATCAACCCAAAAGACTCCTTAATATCAAAGTTTCTTATTTTTTTAGAAGTTGATGTGTTTTTTTTTAGATTTAGGATGACTGTGTGTGCAGGTAAATATTACTGTGCAGAATTATTAGGCAACATAATAAAAAACAAATATATACCCATCACACTTGTTTATTTTCACCAGGTAAAACAATATAACAACTCAAAATTCAGAAATAAATATTTGCAACATTCAAAAAACCAAAACAAATCAGTGACCGATATAGCCACCTTTCTTCACCATGATGCTCAAAAGCCTTCCATCCATAGATTCTGTCAGTGTCTTGATCTGTTTGCGATCCACATTGCATGCAGCAGCCACCACAGCCTCCCAGACACTGTTCACAGAGGTGGACTGTTTCCCCTCCCTGTAGATCTCACATTTCATGAAGGACCACAGGTTCTCCATGAGGTTCAGATCAGGTGAACAAGGGGGCCATGTCATTATTTTTTCTCCTTTTAGACGTTGCCTGGCCAGCCACACTGTGGTGTATTTTGATGCGTGTGACGGAGCATTGTCCTGCATGAATATCATGTTGTTCTTCAATGATGGCGACTTCTTCTTGTACAACTGTTTGAAGAAGGTGTCTTCCAGAAACTGGCAGTAGGTCTGGGAGTTGATGTTGACTCCATCATCAACCCGAAAAGGTTCCACAAGCTCATCTTTGATGATAGCAGCCCATACCAGTACCCCGCCTCCACCTTGCTGGCATCTGAGTCGATAAGGAACTTGCTGCCCTTTACTAATCCAGCCTGGTGCCCATCCATCCATCTGGCCCATCAAGACTCACTCTCATTTCATCAGACCAAAACACCTTGGAGAAATCAGTCTTTAGATATTTCTTGGCCCAGTCTTGATGTTTTGTCTTGTTCAAAGGTAAAGTAGCCTTTTTTCGGCTTTCCTTACCTTGGCCAGGTCCCTGAGTATTGAGCACCTTGTACTTCTCAGCACTCCAGACATGTTGCAGCTCTGAAATATGCCACAACAGGTGGCTAATGGCTTCCTGGTAGCTTCAAGCTTGGGGAGTTATTTTGTGTTTTCTTTTTTCAACACGCTTCTTGCGCCCCTGTTGACTATTTGCCATGAACCGCTTGATTGTGCGATGCTCCCGCTTCAAAAGCTTGGCAATTTCCAGACTGCTGCACCCCTCTGAAAGACATCTGACAATTTTTAACTTTTCAGAGTCTGTCAAATCTCTTTTCTGACCCATTTTGCCAAAGGAAAGGAAGTTGCCTAATAATTAAGCACACCTTATATAGGATGTTGATGTCATTAGGCCACACTCCTTCTCATTACAGAGATGCACACCACCTGATTTACTTAGCTGGTAGTTGGCTTTCAAGCCTATACAGCTTGGAGTAGGACAACATGTATGAAAAGGATGATGTGTTCGAAATACTTATTTGCCTAATAGTTCTGCACACAGTGTAGAGACTTGGTGCCATTAAGCAAACTGTAATGGAAGGAAGGATCAGCAACTTTTGCTGTTTTACTTTTTTCCAGAAAATGAGCATCTTCTATCGGGACCATCTGGGGAAGTATCCGTACCTCTCCAACGATGGCCGAGAGGTGAACGGAGGAATCCCTCAGCTTGGTGATCTGGCCTCTCACCTTTCCCTCACAGCTCTGAAGCTGGACGTCCTGCTGCGTCCCAGCTTCTCTGGTCTGGGGGTCATCGACTGGGAGGAGTGGCAGCCATTGTGGGAGAGCAACTTTGGATCCAGGATAAAGTACCGCAGGCTCTCCAAGCAGCTGGTGAGACAAGATAGACTGGATCTGTCTGAGGAGAACGTGACACGGCTGGCTCGGCAGGAGTTTGAGAAGAGTGCTCGGGCTTTTATGGAGGAGACGCTGAGGCTGGCGACCAGGAGCAGGCCCAAGGGATTCTGGGGCTTTTATGGTTTCCCCTCCTGCTTGAATAAACACAAGCGGAAGACAGGTAGAGCAAACAAAATCTGGATTGTTATCCAATGTCTGTGATTTATGGGCATACTGAACTTGATGAAGAGAATACCATAAATTGTTTTTATAAAAATGGGTTGTATGAAGGTGGAAACTAGGCATGTGATAAAAAAATCGATTTTGTGATAGTGATTTTCGTCATTTCATTTTGATAGCTGGGTAAAATATCACACTATATTGGCATATTGTGATAATATCGTATTGTGACCAGAGTATCGAGACTTATATCGTATCGCAAAACACATGCCAATACTCAACCCCTAGTGGAAACAGTCCTGCATTAAAATATTCAAACTCCTGAAGTTTTTCAAAATTTGTCTCTAAAAAAAAAAATTCAGCGTTTGGGTTTAAAATAGCGCAAGCAGAGAAATAGTTTGAAAAATATAAATTTTAAGCGAAGAGTTATTGGAGGACAAGGCAAGACCTTATCACCTTTTGTAATATTTAAAAAAATATGTATATTTTGATGTAAAAAAAAAAAGTTCTTCTCTAAGAGATTTATGAAAAACACTAGCAGAGTGAAAAAAAAATTTTTCTTCTTAAACATAACCTTAGATCACTAATGATGATATTATTTTCCAGCCTAAATTTACTTTAAACTTCTGCCCACGTTTATCACAGCGTAGTCATTTACAACATATGGGATGTGTTTAGGTGATTTATTTATCATTATGAGTAATGGGGAAAAATTGGGTTAATTAAAGAATACAGCCAGTTTTTTTTTCCCAGATTTCAATTATTCTATTATTTTTCCTCTGCTTTGTGTGGTTCTAAATAAAATCCCATTAAAAATTTTGCTTTTTCTAATAACACAAAATGTTAAAAAGTGTGAAGGATTACATTTAGAAGACCCTGTAAATGATATAATTCTGTAATTCAACTCAATAATTCAAGTCTAGTACAGCTGATTGAACTGACATGAATGTGCTTCGTTTGTTATGTGAGAGCAGATCAAAGCTACACAGGACGCTGCCACAAGGGAACCAAGCAGAGGAATGACCGGCTGTCCTGGCTGTGGGCTCAGTCCACAGCTCTCTATCCCAGCATTTATCTGCCGCAGAGGTTGGCAGGGTCCATAAATGCAGCTCTGATGGTCAGGTATAAACAAGCACATTTATTCCCAGTTTTACCACATTTCTTTTAAAGCTAAAGGTGCAAACTGAAGTTTTTTTCTGCACTCAGACACAGACTGCAGGAGGCTTTGAGAGTGGCTTCATTGTGGCGTCATGAGAACAATAATAATCAGGCCACACCTGTCCTTCCGTACACCCGGCTGGCGTTCACACATTCTCTCAACTTTCTCAACAAGGTAGCTTTGGGTCATTAAAGGCAACAGATGGTGAAGTTCAGTTTGCAGGCATAACAGACAGTCTGTGCTTGCAGACGGATTTGGAGCACACGCTTGGAGAGAGCGCCTCACTTGGCACAGCTGGGGTCGTGCTGTGGGGAGATATAAAATTCGCCAAATCTAAAGTATGAGAATAACTAAATCATCATGCCTGAGCGTTTTGGAGTTTTCATACAACCTTGTTCTCTTCTCTTATCTATCAGGAGCAGTGCATCCTTCTCAGACACTACATCCACAGTGTCTTGGGCCCCTTTATACACTCCCTGAGGGCCGACACGCTCCGCTGCAGCCTCCAACTCTGCCACAGTCATGGCCGCTGTGCCAGGCGAAACCCCAACAGTAGTCACAGGCTTTCATCAGCATCCACCTCTGACCCTCATGATGATGCTGACTCCACCAGCAGGAAATACTACCAGCAGCACTTCATGTGTCAATGCTACTCAGGCTGGACTGGGCCCCAGTGTCAGAAGAGTGGACAGAACGAGGGTTGATGATGGCTCCTCGTTTAGGGGAGCGTTCAATAAATTGCATAGAAAAGTTATAAAAAATGTAAACTATTTAAAAATATTTAAAATATATGCTTGGGTTCAGTTTTTGAATGCCTGTTTCTGTTTGTTGGTGTCAGCTAACATCCTTATATTAGCATGTTAGCAAAATATAGCATTTTAGTGATGGATTTGCTGCCTTTATTTTAGCTAATAGTGATTTTTTTTCTCCTACCTTTAAAAATAAGGAAGACTATCCTGTTAATTTAAAGTATGAAAAGAAGATGGCCATGTTAGTATTTTAGCTCTTTTTGCATTTCCTCTAATGATGCTACAAAAGCTGCTGTTAGCATAGTAGATAGTTTTAGCTAACATGTTAGCTAACATGTAATAGTTTGTTTTTAATACTAGATTATGATATATTCTTAGCATAATACCTAAACATGTTTTAGGGTTTGCTTATCCCAACAAAATACTTGGAAAACTTTGTTCCACATTCTCTTCATAGAAGCAATTATAAAAAATATGATCTGCTGTAGCTCAGTTGTTACAAATATATGTTCCAGATTTCCTAAAAACTTTAAACACAAAGCAAATATATTTTGGGATAGTACAATAACACCATCTAACATTAAAGCAACGTTTTAATTGTTAAATTATAAATCATGAAAAGTAATTGGATATATTTCTTTGGGTTGTCATTTCTGAATTATTGACATTTCAATTGTTGAATTGTTTGAGTTTTTCGTTTTATTGTTTATTTTCAATGTATGATGCTCCTTTTGAGGTAGACATTGCAGCAGTCAGAAAAGATTTTTCCATAATGGGAGGACATGACCTAGCCTTATTATGCTATTAAACACCTCACAGCTTTTAATCTGGCTAAAGGAAAACTATCAATTAAAAAAGAGAAGAAATCCGTTAAAATCAAACGTATTCGTGAATCACATAATATAATTTTTGGCTCTATGAACAATATTTTTTCCCTGTTATTTTGATAAGGAAGTGTTTTAGATATTTATAAAAACTCAGGGGTGGTAACCACTCTAATATCTGAAAGATCACATTCCCTTTTATGAAAGAAAAATTTAGGTTTTTGTCAATTATGCTATTTTATTATACAACAAAAGACAAAGAATTACATTTTTAACTCAAAACAAAGACTGTGTTTAGAGATAAAAGATCAAAGCCTACATGGAATTAAGTTTTATGTTTCACATTTTCAAATGATTCCCCGTCCTCTGTTAAACGAGCCCAGTCCACGTCTTCCTCATGTCCCTCGTCTCACGACTGTCATGTTTCGTCTCAGTTCCTGCAGCTCCTGGATCAGCAGTGCCAGCTCGTTGGCTGCAGCCTCCTTTTCCCTCACAGCTTCAGTCAGCATCCTGATTGCGCTGCCCTGCTGAACTAAAAGAGACATAGATGAAAATATTATGATCATTTTAATTATTTTACTGTCAGTCGTCAAATCAAACTCAAGTTTCTCTCTTTTGCTCTCATAAAGGATCACCAACTATTTCCAAAGGCCAAAAAAGCATCAGATAATATTAAATTGTTTTATCCTTTCTTTGATTTACTTTAAAATCAAAAGTTTACAAATACTTCTAAGGTATTTGGTAGAAACCTGGGTCAAATGTCTTTCTTATTCTTCCACAAGCATCATAGTTTGCTATGATTTTGGCTGATTAATTCTGTTATTTCTTAAGTAACTGAGTCAGGTTTGGAGTTTATAGATTAACAAACATACTTTATCAGTTCTGCCTATTTTTGTATTGGGTAACTGGGGCTCTGTGATGTCTAGTCCAACATTTTTAACATTTTATCTGCAGGTCACAAACTCATGTGGCAACCAAATTGTCGATCAAGAGCCATTTGTGTCCAATCTGTAACTTCCTTGCTTATGTGTTGAAATGTTGCTTCAATATGTCCAAATAGGGTTCTTGTCTTATCAAGTTGGCTTTATTTGTGAAATTGACTAATTTTCCTTGCGGCAAAACACCTAAAAGAGGAATCATCATGCCTCAGGCCTGCACGCTTCCCCTTCTTTTTTTTAAATTGTAAATAAGTCTTGATGGCAAAATACTTCAGATATAGTTTCACCAGAACACAGGAAGTACCTCTGATATTTTGCCACTTCTGGGGAGATGAATTCTTTCTCTCTGATTGGCCTTTCAGCTCATGTCAGTATAGAACTCATTACACAGAGTATGAGACTCTTACCAACATCTACCGGGACTTTACACAGCATTTTGCTTTTCTTTTAGGGTTGATCTCTGAGACGTTAGATGATTGAACCCAAAGATAACCAGACCTGTGGACAGCCATAGTTTTCTTCCTGATATCTTGAATCCTTTAGTTTTTTTTATCTATGATGTAACAAAAGGAAGCGATTTGTTTGAGGTGTTGCCCTAAAAACCTTCACAACAGGCCTCGATTTAACTCATAATTGGATCTAATGTCTTATACAATTTAAAAAAAGGTTTAAACTTTTTTATGTACACATCTGACTGAAGCTCAGTTAGCCCTCACATAGGCTGATTTAAATTGACGTGGGGCCTATTTACAGATGTTAGTAGGGCTCTTGTGGCATTACACTGAGATTAAACTTGTATGAATTTTAGCTTGAAGTTTTAAATTAATTTGACTAAAAGCAAAAATAATCTAGATTTTGTGAAATACAGTTGAAACACAGATGTGTCACCTAGAAAATAAAAGATAAGCAACACTGTGAGCAGAAGAAGGGTGATGATGGCGCAGCCCATGGCGTAAGCCCTTGATGAACTCGGTGTCAACATGTCCTGAAGTCGTCTCTGCCATTTGCTGTTCAGTGAGGGCCCTCTTTGACTGCCTGCCGCCCCATGTGTGAATAGATTCCCATTTGGGGAGGGTGTATATGCGGGGCGAGGAGGCTTCGTACCTGGAAAGGAAACAGGGTGAACTAAGTCGCTTGGCTAAATGTCCATGTTTGCTCTCAGGCTGGGCGTACCTTTGTGGCTGTGCTCAGCATGTGTGCGGTGGAGGTCGTTGATGGAGTCGACAGAATGCAGCTCGATCTCTGTGAGGTCTCTCTCGCTGACCCTGTAGAACTGAGGAGTGGTCTGGGACGAAGGAGGCCTCGACATATCGCCTGGTTCTGAGGAAAAGCCTGAATGAAGAGATGAGACAGACTGTCTCAAACAGCCAAATGCTCCACAGGGAACATTTATGGTGCTAAAAAAGATTTTACCCTCCCCTCAATACGTTAAAGCTGTTGTTCTTAAATTTATGTGGAAATAATAGTTGCAGAAACTAACATCCCAATTAGATAAAAGATGACCAGAACAGAAAATAACAATTATCATAAAATGGCACGGGGCAAGGTATGCACCTATCCTTTAATGTAGGTAGCAGACAGGAAACCAGGTTATAAAGTTGACTTTAAGTAAGAAGTTTAAATTATGGCCTTCTTTTCCTCACTCTCCAGTACATCTTCAACAACATTTAGTAAAAGATTTAACTGTATAACATGGCTGAAAACATGTTTCATAAAACGAAATGGCTTTAACAAAGAATTCCTGATCAATATTCAAAGGTAAGACAAAAGCATTATAAAATACAAAACAAGAAGGAGAGGTCACTGCAAATACGTAAACTCTGATTAAGCTTGTTTATGCTGCTCCTCACTTTAGCTTGATATCTCTTAACAGAAAACGCTTAGATGGATTTAGACCAGGTCTTTCACCAAAGAGTTTGAACAAATGCGTATATTTTGAGTGAAAACATTCTTTTACAGCTCTGGCTGTATGTTGGGTGCTGTTTTATTTGAATCGATACCCCCATTCTAAGGTTTTTTTTACATTCTCCAGTATTTCCCATTATTGCCACATTTTGATAAAGGCCAGAATTTGAAGGGCTAATGGTTGTCATATGAACAGATTTTTCCACCTGAGTTATCACCTTCTAGAGCTACCCCCTTATGTGATGTAAATATTGCTCTTTTCTTGCGTTTGTGGTTGAACCATGTCTCTTCAGCCTTACAGATTGTTTTATTATTTGATTGGGGCGACTGTAAAGTGTTTTACAGGAAAAAATATTTCACCCAATCAGCATTCTCAGAAGGAGGAGCTTTCCCTCCCCAAAAAACCCCCAAAATAAATAAATATTCTGATTCAACCTCTCTACCGATTTATTCCTAACTAGTCTGACATTTGTCTTCATGATGCCACAAAACAGCTGGATTTATTCAAACTAACTGGTGACTTCATGAGGCAGGTAAATTAGATTAAGGGGTGCAAATGCCTGACTCCCTTCATATATTTTAAATAGTACAAAAATATTTAGAACCATACATTGTTTTCTTTCATTTTATAGCTTAACACTTATTTTTGTGTTTTACACCTGACAAAGTTATGCAATACAGATTCTCCTTTAATGTGGAAACAGGTGATATGACTGTTTGGGATATGAAGATACAGAAACATGTCATTTATAATATATATCAACGTAATCCTTTAATGACAAAAGATCCATGGAGATCTTAGGCACCTATTATTAGAGGTTCTTATCAAACTTATGGAGGCATGATGGTTCAGGAATTTGAAACAAGGCCCAAAGAACAGAACGTGCTCATGACTATTAAGTGACTGGAAAAATAAATTAGTCCACAGTTACTCTGTGAATTAGTCTGATGCAGAAACGTTTCAGTCATCTTACCTTATGTCACTTTAGGAAATCCTGTTTAAATGTATGTGTTTTTGCTGGTTGAAGCCTTCTAGTCTTCTTGTTTACTTCTCACATGCTCACAGCTAACTGCAAAACATGAATCTCAGCCAAGAAAACCAGCAGAAAATTGGATTTCAAGTCAACAGCTGCTCTGCTGGAGTCACATCAGGTGACCAGGTCCTCATAAATAGCTAAGATAAACTGAGTTTGTGGCTAAATATTCGGATTTATCCCACAGCAGCTCCCTGTAGAAAGATATGAACGGAGAGAGGAAGTTTCTTTCTCTGCCTTAAAGCCCCCCTAACATGCACATGCCCAGCTTTGCAGCCCCTCACAGCTCAAAATAGAACCAGAGACGTGAGATTATTATTAGTTCCTTTGGCCAAAAGGATGACTCAGTGACCTGAGTGGAAGGCATGATGGCCTACACTGGGATAAACGCAGGAGACTCTGACTGAGGAAAACTGACTGAAGGATTAACAAATGAAACAATAAAACTGCAAAGTTGTATTATGTTTGTTTTTTGCTATGTACAACCATCAAACTAAATGGTTATTAGTCTGATAAAAATGTTAAAAAGAATGTCTGAAATCTGAAAGATGGAATTTATTTTTTATCACTTTCAAATTTTCCTGAAACAGGAGATTTTTATTTTCACCTAAACAGCAGTTTTTGGTTTTTGAAACCCCTGAAATAATTGTATATTGTACAAACTGCCATCATAAAAAGAGCTGTTTCAACAAAAGCCATGTGTTCTGTTCACATGGGCTTTTATGTTAGGTTAATTTAGGTATAATCATTTTATAAACTCTTTTAATCATACATTTTAGTATAACTTTAGAGATTAAGCTACAGAGACATTTAGAACAAGGTTAGCTTTCTAAATAAAATCCCAATCTTTGAACACAAAAGCACAGTTTGATCCATCATCTGATCAGAAAATGGTGTTCCCCACCACTGACAAGCCAGGCAAGCAGAGCTACAGAGTATGATAACTACATAGTCGGATCATTGAAAGCTCACCAACCGAATAAGGATCAATAAGAAAAGCAATTTTTTTCATTTATGTCACATGTTAAACTGAGTCTGCACATTTGGCCAAATGAAGCGCAGTAGTGGCAGCATCATGATGCGGGGTCACTTTAAATCTTTAGAACAGAGATTGTGTGGAAATAGATTAAAGTGCACAAATGTTCTCCATCCATTCTGACAGAGCTGTCTGCAAAAAAGAAAAAAAAAACAAAAAAAAAAGAAAAATGCAGGTTTATTTTTTAGATTATTGGAATAATCTTTATGCAACATGTTCCACCTACCACATATTTATGCTTCACTTTGTCTCCATCACACAGCAAATGCAATAACAGCACTAAAGTTTGTTGTAGTAATGTGATAAAATATGAAAAATGCTGTGAATGCATCAGAATGCTGAACTGTTTGTCATAAAGATATGATGAAACAATGTCAGAGACAAATGGACTTAATTCATTTGTTTATTTTTCTTATATTTTTTAATCATATCCTCTTTTTTTCTACTACCACGATATTATGTTGTCTATAATATAATGATACTGTAATTTTCTTTTACACTCTGAGGCTTTGGCATAAATAAGCATCCTATCAACGCCTCCCGTTGATTTATTAACTACATTTCCCACAATTCTTTGCTCCTTCCTGCATCGCTTCATGTGTTTTTTAGCCTGGAAAGCAGGAATCCCATGTTGTTGAGTTCAAACAGTTTGGAAGCAGCGCAGCGGAAGTGCTAACACCTCTGGAGCGGGTTGAAGGGAAACATTTCTGCGGGGATCAGGCTGCAGGATGTGGGCTCGGCTGACGGTTGCTGCCGGGCTGCGGGCTCCCAGAGAGAGTTTGCTGCGGGTCACGGGTGCTGGATGTGCGGGGAAATTCCTGCGGGAGAGACGGGACTTCAGTACAGAGGTAAGAGGACCTTAACAATGCTCTGTCTGGAAGGGTGCAGACTGATTTCTAAGCAACTCATTTGGAACATCATGCAAACTTTAAGCAGATAATTGCTTTTGTGCTTTAACAACTGATTTCTGATCTTAACATTTTTATGTTTTTTTAATTGCAAGCAAGACTTTCTGGAAATAATTTTTAATGCTGTTTCCTATTTATGAATGCAAAATTTAAAGTTTTAAGTTCAAAGTTTTTAATTTTCTCACCTTCTAGAAAACTGAAATCTTAATAGTTAAAATTCCAAATATAATGTGCAGGGTTAATGGCAAATAACACCTCTGATTTACTTCTAGCACTTTGGACCAAGGGTATCTGTTGTATTGAGTTCAAATTTAAATGAGCCCTTTCAACCTAATCCAACCAAACAAGCTGACTAAATGTGATAACCGTTGTGAAATTGTGCATTCCTTTCAATAAGTGAAAATATCCCACAAAACAATGGTGTTTCCTGACATTTAAGTATGCTTATAGATGGACATTAAAAGCTTGAATCCCTTCAGGATAAAGTCTGAATAAATATCGATGTATTTGCATGTCAGATTATTAACAGAAACACTTTTTCAAACAGCAGCCTGTTCAGTCAGACATAATGTTCATGGTTCCCAGCAGACTGAGTCCTCTTCGCTTCACTGAGCTGCACAAAATGATTTTATTAAAACCACGAGTGACTGCTTCTCTAGTGTTATCAGAGTATGCTGATAAGCCCCCCCTTTCACCAGCCAGTTCAAAGGTCACTTAGAGAAACAAAAGATGAGATTGTGACAGAAGGAAGACTATCAGTAGAGCTGTTAATGTAGAGTTGGGATTTTTACACATTATTATCTCCATAATGGTGTTGAAAGCTAAATTTGGTTCCAAGTCTGGTTTAAATTCCTCACACAACAGATGGATACATTTGAATTCGTTTCCTTCCTCGATTGAACATTTAGTTTTTGTCTTCTTGGGATTAGAAATGACTGAAAAAAAAAAAAAACACAATAGTGCTCGATTGTTAAAGAAAGGAAACCTGTTTCTAAGTGTTTTTATTTTTTGGTTACAGATAAAAATCAGAAAAGCATTCTGTTCCTTACCCATTAAATTTTAGTGTCAGCATATTTCTAGCGGTCTAGTGGTTAGGGCATATAGAGCTTGGAACCCTGAGGTTCTGAGTTTGAGCCCCACTCCCACAGCCGGCACTTTAGGTCTTTGAGCAAAACCCTTAACCCCAAACTGCTCCCTGGGCGCCACACGATGGCAGCCCACTGCTCCCCAAGAGGATTGGTTAAATTCAGAGGTAAATTTCTCCAATGTGAGATCAATAAAGTTCAATTATTATTAATCATTGCTATTATTTTGCGAAGACACTTTGTTAAAGAACACTGGTGAGCAGACAGCATCATGGAGGTCAGGGAGAAGTTAATGAGAAGGTTAAAGCAGGGTTAAAGTTACTAAACAATATGTGTCATCTGGAAATAAAAAGAAAGCGTTTTAACAGCAAACCTACCCAGAGGGGCATATAGTTACTCTAGAGGAGCTACAGACATGCACAGCTCAGGTGGGGCAAGATTGATGAAAGCTTTTGCCCTGCATCTTAGTAGCAACGTAATACTGTGGGGAGTTTTTTTTTTTTTTAGGTTGAAATTTATAAAACAAATTCTTAAGTGGGTTCTACTTTGTGTTGGTTTTTTGCTACGTTCTTTCTTTCTACAGTCATCCCTGCAGTGGCTATGTTTCTGCTCCAGACTCACTCTGTTGTTTCCCCTCCCACCCCAGGCTCCTTTGAAGAAAACCCCACTCTTTGACTTCCACAGGCACCATGGTGGAAAGATGGTGGATTTTGCAGGCTGGAGTATGCCTGTCCAGTACAAAGACAGCCACATCGCCTCCCACACGCACACCAGGGAGCACTGCTCCATCTTTGACGTCAGCCACATGCTGCAGGTGAGGAAAAGTGGAGCTGAGATGCTAGAAGCTGATGGTTTTGGAAAAAGTTAAATGGAGATTAGCCTTTAGAAACACAAAGGAGGCACATACCTATGAAGCTTGTAAGTTGCGCATGTTTACCTTTGTTTCCCCTCAGACCAAAATCCATGGCAAAGATCGAGTAAAGTTTATGGAGTCTCTGGTGGTGGCAGATATCGCAGAGCTGAAGGACAACCAGGTAGGAGGAAGATTCCCTTTCTGGTTGATCTGTTAATGAAACATCACAGAGCTTCTTCTGCTGCTAAATACATGAAAACATTTTATTTTGTTACTTTAAATATCCTGAATAGATTGAAGATCAATCTCTAACTTCCATGATGTGACTTGGTTCATAGATTTCTCTTTAAGTCTTTAGGTTCTCAGCCTCTCATCCTTTCTCTCACCATCTTCACACCATTCAGGGTACATTGACTCTCTTCACCAATGAGAAAGGAGGAATCATTGATGACCTCATAGTGACAAAGACAGACCAGGGTTACCTCTATGTGGTCTCCAACGCTGGCTGCGCCGACAAAGACTCTGCTCATATGAAGGTGAAGCAATGTGTGCAGGAAGAGCAGCCTGGAATCCTCTGGAAAATGTCTGAAGGGTGTTTCTGTGCTTTTTTTTAATGTTCAGGCCAAACTGGCAGAGTACAAAGCTGCTGGGTTTGATGTGGACCTGGAGTTCATTGATGAAGCCCTTGTTGCTTTGCAAGGTGAAATAATCACTTCATCCTTCATTTGTTTTTCCTTCTTTCTTCCTTTTTGCATTTTTCTTTAAGTTTCTTATTTTGTGTTTTTTCTAAGATGATCCAAAGCTCTCTGTGCAGATTCTAAAATGTTATCTTTGTTGCATCAGGTCCCATCATGGCTCAGGTGCTTCAGGCAGGGCTGAAGGGGGACCTCAGTAAGCTGACCTTCATGTCCTCCACCCTGGTCACAGTGTTCGGCATTCCTGACTGCAGGGTGACCCGCTGTGGATACACTGGAGAAGACGGGGTGGAGGTGAGCACCTCCTGTGATTAACTCAACATTAAGTTCTGAGTTGTTGTCTATTTTTGCATGTTCTTTTCACAGACCGTTCAAACTGTGAGCTGAATATTTGAAAAAAAAACATAAAATCTGTCAATTATAGATAGCATAAATCTTTGTCACTGAAACAGCACTTTATATGTGTTTATTGTAATCATGTCTGATATGATTCATAGGGCTACATTTGCAGCAACTTCATCTTCGAGTCTTTTGGTGTATGTGTCTACTTACTCTTGATATTCTTGCCCATTCTTTGTGAAATAACTCAACCCATGTTGGATTGAATGAATAGCCTTGATATTTTCCTCATATTTCCAGTTGGATTTATTTCTGGATTTATATTCGACCGTTCTAGTACGGAAATATGCTTTGATTTAAAGCAGTTGTGTCCAGAAAGCCATTTGATTTTGAGAGATTTAAAAGCTTAAAATGAAAAAGGTTACGTAC